TTAATAGTTTCTACGACTTATTGTTTTCTTTTACATTTTCTTTCTCCTCGCTATCATTATATCACATAGTTGTCATATAAAGTTTGTATTTGAAAAAAATGTACGTCCATGCAAACCGTAGCAGGAAAATGGGGAATGATATTGCGAATTTAGTATTACGATAATTATATAGCTGCCAAGCGCGGAGGGGAAGAGCAGTATTACTACCAGAAAGTCACGAGGCTATAGACATTCCGAGATTCGTCGTATAGAATTTCGCAAAGCTGATTCACGGTACTATTGAAAGAAAAAGACCTTTTTATTTTATATATGTGAAGAAACTTTGTACCTTTTTATTGACGTACCTTAAATTCCTCATGTTCTACAAAATTAAGTACATTCACTTATGACACGTGAAACTTGTTATATTATTGTATTATTTTACTTATATATTAAACAAATATCTACATCGAAACATCGTGCCGTATATGATAATTAGTCAACATTTAATAGTTGTATGAGAATAGTTTATTAGCACTTAATAATATTAATTAAGAAGAGAAAACGTTATTGATATTAATATATTTAATCATACAATTTACATTAATTACAGCAACAAGAATAATTTAATATAACGCTATTAACATTGAGAGTGTCATTAAAATCACGGAAAATGCAGGTTCTTAAGTTTACATTAAAAATTCTTACGATTGTGGGATGTTGGCCACCAAATTCATGGACCTCATTGTGTAAACGTACTATGTATAACGCATATACCACTTTTGTAATATTGTTGCTTTTCACCTTCATGCTGCCACAACTTATGGATGTCGTTTTGAACGTCGACAATGCCGACGATTTTACAGATACTTTCTATATCATGCTCGGCATGATTATTTCCTGTTGTAAAATGGTCGGTCTTTTGATAAATCGCAACAATATAGGGATATTAACCAATATTCTTACTCAGAAACCATTTATGCCATTAGAGGCTGACGAAATAGAAATCCGCCAAAAATTCGACAAAACAATACAGTAAGTATATAAAAAGTTCTCACTTTATTTTAATAATATATAAAAATATTTTAAAAATGTGATAAAAATCATTAATTTATATGAGAATAATAGTGCAAAGAAAAATGTTTAATGTAAAATGTTTAATAAAAAATATAAAAAACAAACTTATCTATTTTGTAGGACGAATACATTATGGTACACAATTTTGGTCGAAACGACATGTGCATGTGTAATGTTGACATCATTATTCACCGATTTTCGGAAAGGTAATTTAACGTACAGAGAGTGGACACCGTATAACTACACATCTGAGGTGATATTCTGTATCATATATGCTCGTCAATTAATAAGCTCGACTATTGGCTCTATGGTGAATGTTGCGTGCGACAGTCTGATTTGTGGTTTATTATTACACGTATGTTGTCAGCTCGAAATACTGGAGTGCCGGTTGAAAAAGAGCTTCCTCGGCCAAAACAACCTGCGCGAATGTGTACGTCAGCACGATTGTATATTTAAGTTAGTTTCTTTGACGATCTTGCAGATTGTAAAATGGTGAAAAATTATTTGGAAAATTGAAAATCAAATGGTCGATGACGTTACATTGGCGTAATTTTAATTCTTATCGAGCACTATCCAGTCTGCATAGTGTTTATATTTTTATATGCAGAATAATTAGAGTAATTATATATAAAAAAATCATATAATTCCATTTAAAAAGATAGAGATAGTCTATGACTACGAAAAATTTTTTTCAAAAATTAATTTTATCATTATTTGTACCCTTTCAAGCCATACAATTGTTGTCTAAAATGTTTTTTTCGTATTTTCCATATTTTTTATAGTATTCGATTCATTATATTTAAAATTTTTTATTCTGTGTAAATACCTTTTAAAAATATTTTGGATACAAAAATTTATATGCAAATAAATTTATATTTTAAATAAATAAGTATATTTTAAACGTTTGTATTTTGCAGATTTGCATTAATGGTGAATGAAAAATTTAAGATAATTATCGCTATTCAATTTATTGTGAGCACATTGGTGGTATGTTCCAATTTATATCAATTAGCAAAGATGACATTGACTGCGCAATGCTTTCCATTGATACTATACACATGCTCCATGCTCACACAAATTCTCATCTATTGTTGGTATGGAAACGAAGTAAAACTAAAGGTGCATATTTCAGAAAGCTTAAACGTGCAGTATTAATATAATTTATTCAATACTTACACGATATTAAAAACTTCCTAGATATAAAATTATTAGTCTTATTACAAATACTCCATCCATCGATTTTAGGAATAAAATTTTCAGCTTATGAAAAACCATTGTAACAACAAAAAACTCTGTAATTAATATAAGAAAACATTAGTTCAAATTTTATTTTAAAAATCTTGTATAACGTTTTTTAATTTATGTACATATTGTTTAATATAGAGCGTTCAACTCACCGTTAATATCTTTGGAATGGGATGGTTAACAATGAAGCAAAACAAAAAACAGAGTTTATTAATAATTATGAATCGCTCATTAATACCTATTGAATTTTCTAGCGCGTACATTCTTACAATGAACCTTAATTCTTTCGTGAGCGTGAGTATAACAGTCTATTGTCACTAAACAATTAATTTTGAATTAATAATAATATACATTTTATTAAAAATATAATATATTTCAATTTTTATAATACACTGAAAATTTATTTACATTCATAAAAAAATTTAATCTATCTTTTTAATCGTGTTATATTATTATATTACAAAAATTAAATACTGCACTTTTTATATAAAAGCTAATTTCTTCATAAATCTTTTTGGAGATTAATGTATAATTATGTATTACACATATTTTATTATTTGGCAATATAATTTAATATTTTACAAAATTAGTAACTACAAAATAAATTTGAAGAAAGATTTATCTTTTTATTACAGTTACTTAAAACGTCATACTCGGCTTATAGTATACTACAACAAATGTAAACAATATAATACAAATGGAAGATAGTACAGAAGCTAGAGAATCATATTTCCTAATTAAGTTATCTCTATGATTAATGTTATTAATTATTTAAGTTTCCTGTTATCTATTATATAATATTAACAAATAATTAAATAAGAAATATTGATTATTATATGTTTCATCTTTTTCATTAGATTTTTATTTACAATCTTCTATAATTTATACTGCTTTAATTTTAGTTCTATTATTTATTTATTTAAACATTTTTACTTTATTTAATCTTCAATGTGGAAAATTTTTAATATATAAGATTTTTTCAACATTTTTTCTCTCTTCTCTTCTCACTTTATATACATAATACATAGTTATTATTCCCCAAAGTAAATAGATAAAATGCAATTCTGCGCAATATGATATTTTGACTAGCTTAGAATTAACTGAAGATATTACAGCATGTATATTCGCTTTGCCTATATATGTATATTTAATAATCTCTTTTAACCGCTTGTATCCTACCAGAATTATCGATCAATATGAGTAACAGAATTAACGATGACAGCCAGATGTGAGGTGGAACTGACGACAATAACAGATTCCATATTTTTTGTATGTAAGTATAAATTACTTACATTAAAATTTCATGGTGACACACCTTAATTTATAGTCTAAAGGTTTTGTTGTCGACAAGTTTTCCTTTAGACTACTCGTATTTTAATGTATTACCTAACAGTTTATATAAAGGTCGCAAAAAAAAAACACACAGCTATGCATATTATTTTATAAAAGTATTATTACCAGTTGGAATATATTACAAGTTACGTATACATATAATTATTATGATGACATGTGTAGCTTTCCACCACAAAGAGGCGAACAATGAATGCAGAAAGTAACGTTGCGTGTCTATAGACATTGTAAGATTTGTCGAAGTTCCACAAAATTGCTTTAAAATCAATATATAAAGTTTATATGAAATTGCTTGATATTTTTTGTTTGTGTAAGTCATTTATATTATTGAATATTTTCTAAAGTTAATGAATAAAATGCAATTGTGCGCAATTTTTATTTTGTTTACTCAATATCGATTGAATAAATTAGCTAATTATACAAGTGATTGAAGTTAATTTAATTACCAATCTTATATTTATAATATAAAATGTTGCGTGTCACAAATTATTGTAAAAGTAGGTACACTACTATACTACTCATATATATACACAGTACTTCATCAAAATAAGCGTACGATTGTATAAACGGGTAATTGAGGTTGACACCCCTTATTTCACGTGAAAAATAATACGACCAATCCATGTGTCTAATTTGATAACTATGACAACGGTAGCGACTGACTACGAAAATCGCTATATAATTAGGCACCCTTTTAACCTTCAGTGTCCCTCAGAATTAATCGATCCAGCAAGAAGAAAGCGAACGAAGCCGAGTTTCCCAGTGAACGATACGAAGTTTAGTGTTCATACAAAGGCAAGGCTGACACCTCGTCTCGATATACGTGTATAAATCATCCACAATAAACAGTGTTAAATATATCTGGATTATTTCGCCTTCTACAATAAACATATTTTACGTTTATATTAAAGATAAAAAAAAAATATATATATATATAATATTAAAATATAAAAATAAAATCTAAATTAAGCAATGTTATTATAATTTTCGTATAAATATTTTAAACTGTTTTTTTAAATAAAAGCATCTAAGTTTATTTATCTAAAAAATTTTAGCTTATGCATATAATATTTACTGTATCTTTCATAATTACATCACATAATTATGTCTCTTGTATAAGACATATATTGTACAATAGTATATATATACAGTATACAATACATATAAATAGTGTTTTATTTTAAAGTAGAGGCGAATAAAAAATATTTCAAGAAATGCAAGTTATGCAATTTCCACTGAAAATCCTCACGATAGCAGGATGCCGACCACCAGTCTCCTGGTTTTCATTATGGAAACGGACAGTGTATAATGTATATACAATTTTCGTGTGTTTACTACTGTTCACTTTCATGTTGGCACAACTTATGGATATTATCCTGAATGTCAATAATGCGGACGATTTCACGGATACTTTTTATATAATGTTAGCCATGGTCATCGCTTCCTGCAAGATGCTCAGTCTATTGCTAAATCGCAAGAATATCGAGATATTAACTGGCGCATTGGTTGAGAAACCATTTAGACCTTTGGAACCAGATGAAATTGAGATTCGACAAAAATATAATAATATAATACGGTAAGGAGTTGCTTTTATATAAGGAATAAAAAGATCCGTATATTTTAATTTTATTTTCTCCTTTATATTAGTTCTAACACATAATTATTAACGTTACATATTTATATAATTATTTTGCATTTTTTAAATTTAATTGGCAAGAACGACAAGATACGATTTTTATTAATAAAATAAACAATAAATGGAAATCTTTTTGTTATTTTATGAAAGAAGAAGAAAATATATTTTTTTCTTTCTTTTTAATTAAAGGAGAAAAATACAAAACAAAGTCATCGTGAATTAGTCCAGCCCCCATAGTCATTTTGCAGGATCAATTCTATAATCTACACGGTTTTTGTTGAGATAACGTGCGGATGCATGAATTTAACGTCTTTACTTATGGATTTCCGGCAAGGAAATTTAGCGTATAGAGAATGGATACCCTTCGAGTGGTCCGATACAGTGTATTATCTCACATACTTTCGTCAATTAATGAGCTTAACGGCTGCGTCGATCGTGAATGTTGCTTGCGATATAATGATTTGTGGATTGCTGCTACATATTTACTGCCAAATCGAAATCTTAGAGTGCCGTGTGAGAAAATCGTTACGCAATCGAGGCGACTTGGGTGAATGTGTGCGTCAGCACGATCATATCTACAAGTTAGTCTTTATATAGAATTTTATTTGCTTAAATGTTTCTCTTAATTAATCTTAAGGTAAAGAGTACACAACGTTGCGTGCGCACGAATACACATACACAGAG